CTCTAACTGCAGTTTTTATTGTGTTTGGCGTTGTACAGATAAATTATGCGCCTTTCTCTTTTGACATTTTAAATTTGAGGAATACTTGATAGATATTGTTTTACAAAATAATGTAGCCGTTGAATTATCTTTACCATGTTTGCCCTTACAGGATATCTTGTTGGAAACGAGAGCCCAATTGATGTCTCTGCTGTCAGTACTTGTTGTAATCAGGTACCGGCAGATACACTTCCTACTGACTTGGTAAGTCTATTGACAGCTATAAATAATTTGACTGCTGATTTATGTTTTTGGTCTTGATTGAACCAAAAGATGGGGTAAGTTGGAGGATTTTATTGGATATGAAGCACATGCGAAATAGTTTGGCAGATGAGGCAGTAAAACTAGGATTTTGAAAAAACTTTGAGAGGGAGTCGAGCAACACAGAGGGAGTTCTTCCAACTCAAGGACCACCTCGTGAATTTCTTGGCAAAATAAGCAAATGTATAAGGGCAGCCTCCTACTTTAAGATGTTTGTGCAAATATTAGCACCTCCAATCATCTCCTGTTTATATTCCTCAATTGCATGCTAGTTCTGTAGGGGACACAATTGACTTCATAAGCATTGCCCTAGTGCTACCTTGGATACTTGAGATAGTGTGTGGCGCATGCCACTACAGAATACATGCTGCTACCTTGGATACTTGAGATAGTGTTTGGCGCATGCCACTACAGAATACATGCTGTCACCTGGAATCTGCATAAGCTACTGGAGACGGTTATTATTTCAATGCACATGCTTAAAGAACTCTTATTTATGTTAACAATGTATATAAATAATTGCTGCAGGTTTTTTTGTACATATACTTAGATCTTGAACTCAGTTCCAATAATTGCTGATACTGAAGTTGTTGGTTTCTAAACCCAGCTTCCTGATTCCTATCCTGACAGTTGTTTAGTTGTACTTCATCCAGCAAGCCTTACTTGATCCAAATAGAGGAGAGTGAATGACGTGCTAGTATGGCGATTCTGCTTCTTCAGCAACATTCTCATTTTAGTGGTCATCTTTTCATCAACTTTGTGGAGTTCCTTAAAGCTAACAATTACTGTGTGTTCTTATAGGGAACTGACGGCTATCAGAATTCACTGGGGTTGGCCTCGAAAAAGGCTGCAAGAATGCCAAAGTCCCCTTGGATGCCATTCCCCATGTTGTTTGCAGCAATTTCGAGGAAAGTGCCTCAAGAGGACATGAACCTCGTTAGTAGCAATTATGAGTTATTCAAGGTATATATATTGCATCTGCTGAAAATTGCATATCAGAAAAAAGTAACAATTGCTGAATGTTTTATTTCTCTAATTTGTGCCTGGATTGTTACTGAACTGAAAATTTTTCCTCTTGTTTCATTTATCTGACATCGATAGGACAAGAAGATAAGTCGGGATGAATTTGTCAGAAAGTTGAGGTTGATCGTAGGGGATACTTTGTTAAGGTCCACAATAACGAGTCTTCAGTGCAAGGTATGGTCTTTGCTTTTTCTAAAGAAATAGGTGCAGCTGCTGTGCTAGCTGGTCGATGCTTCATTCATAATATCATACCCTGTCCATTTAAGAATTTTTCTCTATGTTGCTTATCCAAATGTTGAGTTAGATTTTGGTTAGACAGACTTCCACACAATCTTTGGAAAAATGTTCATTTGGGTCCAACTAGTAGCAATTTCAACTGGGTTTGCACATTTTATCTTTTCGTAAGGCGACGTTAAGTGTTTCACATTGGTTAAGGGATAAGTTGTTATCTCCGTGTATGTCTTGCTCAATCCTCACTTTATGGGCTAGCTTGTGGGTTGAGTAAGGCTTAAGGTCCATTTTTTCATTACATGTTATCGGAGTCTTGACGTATCCCTATTCCTGGTTTACCAAATGTTGGGCTTCCAATGTTATATGGTTCATGCACCCTGATGTCTATTATTGGTTGCTGTTAAGGACTGTAGTCAATGTCTAAACCGGCTTCCACAAAATCCTAGGTCGCCACTGGCTCATTATTTAAAACTCTCTTATGTGAATTTTACTGCTTTGAATGTTTACAATAGCATTGGGGTCGTGCGACTCGGGTTCCTCTTAGCAGTCTTTGTGCTAAGGACTGCTTTCATTGTTAATAAAATACCTGTTATCTTGTTCAAAATAAATGTTTACTAAGTATGAAATGGACAACATTAGAAAAACCAACCACTAAATTGAATTTGACATATTATAGTCTATATCTTATAATTATAAGGTACGATTGTTATAATTACATTAGGGGGGCCTAACAATGGAGCATATTTGTTAGTTCGATGTAGTGCATAAAAGTCGAAGGAAATATGCTGCAACTTAGTTGCAAAAGATTTATATAATCATAAAATATCGAAAATATATGGGATCATAACATATATGATAACAAAATTTTCTTGAATCTAAGTAGCCATTAGGAAGTCAATGTGAACAAAGATATCTTCTGTACTTTTAAGTGGTAGGTTACTCAATATTGGATGTTTTTCCGTCTATAAATAGTTCCTATCGTTGGTCTGATTTGACACTAATGTCGTCGTTGGTCGACTTGCGTACGTGTGTAATTGTTCAGTTCTAATCTTTGTTGGCACAAGTATATGGTGCTTATAAAAGAGTGGATTTCCCTAGGATTCTTTGAATTGATGGCTTAAGATATTTGATATGCATCATATTGAGATGCGTAATGAGGGACAGTTGCTCATCTCGTAGCATCGGATGCTTTACTAACATTGAACCACAATATATATTATATGATTGCGGAAAATTTAAGAAACTGCATCGGATGTTTGTATGTTTCTTAAAATATGAACATCAGAAACTTTAAAACTGGAAATTTCTAGTTTCCCATACACTCTATGTCCCATAGTGTAAGCAGAATTGCTTGGAGAGCTGGATACGTTACTGAGTGCATTATTTCGGTTTCATTTATTTTTCTTTGAAGACTTCCTTTTGGTGCTATTTCGCAGGTGCCACCTAAATCAATGGAATTGGTCCCCGTAAAGCAAGAGCAGGAGAGTGTCTGCCTGGAGTGAAGGCTTCTAGTGTTTGCTTCTATGAACAGCTGTTTTTTCTTAGCTATATAACAAGTGGATAGAGTAGACGTCGCTGTTGCTTTTTCCTTGAATGTCGGATCGCGTAGCCCCGTTCATCTTCGGCGCAAGAGCGCTCGATTAGACATAATATAGGTTGCTACTTTTTGTGAAAATGTGTTACGTGCGTTTAGCTTTCACCTATCCAGAATCTACAGAGTTCTGGGATTTGATAGATGAAGTGAGCGCATAAAAACTTGCACATTTCAGGTTTCTATCTCCCTTATATTTTGGCAAGTGGTACGTCTGTGTCAAGTGTGTTGTAGAGTTCATACTGAAGTTGCTTGTTTGTACTCTTAAACGGTTATGACTATGCTTGAAAATTGGGCGTTACCTGGTGTTTCTGTGTTGACTATGCATGAAAAAATTGGATCTGTGAAGAGCTTCGTTTGCGTGTAATTCATTGTTCTTGGTGTGGTGGATGAACTTGATCTTTTACGAAGTGCCTAGTGATCAATGAAGTGGGAGACGAATTATGAGATCTTAGGTTCAAGTTTCATCGGAGGCAAATTTTTTTTTTTAGGTATTTTCTTCCCATCTAAGTATTGGTAGGTAGATTTATCCGGTATTTGTGTTTGTGGGAGGCAGGTAGTAGGTAAAGGGTATAATAGTTGAGATGCGTGCAAGTGGGATCAGGCATTAGCAACAAAAAAAACTCAACCACCACCCAGTGGAGTGTATGCATACCTTACTCATACCTGAAGGTATAGAGATGCTGTTTTCCGGAAGCTCTCAGCTCCGGAAGCTTTCAGCTCAGAGATAATAGATCCGTAATAACAGAAATCAGAAAAATAGTATCACCATCGTAAAATACAGCAAATAAATGGAAAGGCCAAAATGTGAGACAAAAAAATGTGGAACATAATAAAAACCACCGCTAGCAGTCCTGCCGGCGCAGCGAGCTACCCTTAATCTACAACTGTAATGCTCGACCTCCGCACCTTTCTATCAAGGGTTATGTCCTCGAAAATCTGAAGCCGTGCCCTGTCTGATAACCTTTCACCTCGTCCCAATACTTTTTATGCCGCCCTCTACCTCTTCTCAGGTCAGGCATGAGCGTCACGGAAAAGAAGTTACACATACTATTGGGATTTCGGTTTATTTGATATGAATGTTAGCTGGGAAGACCATAAAGCAAAATGGTTGGCTGCAACGTCTTGAGAGGAGTTGCTTACAAGCCTAAGTATTATCACCAAAAAAATATTTGTGCGTCTCGTCGGCATGCAATGTTAGACCTCACATTATTATATATAACAAGTTGCAGTCAACACGATTAACATTTCATAAGGTGAGTTACGAAGTTACTGAAGATTGACTTTGATATTACTTGAAAAAAACACAAGTATAAACCCAAAAAGTTTGATAACAGATGGAACAGCTTAGAACAATTGCAGAAAATCCGAGGAAACACTTCATATGTGAAATCAAACATTTTGGAGCAACTAGGTAAAAACTTTCATCTATATGTTCTGTCTATTTTAAGGTTCATCTTTGATACTATGCGGAAAGATGTAAGCATCTAACCAAAATGAAGACATGGGGTGGAATTGTTGAATAACTTAGAACAATTATGAAAATATTTGGAAACACTTCTATTGATAGTTTATGGACCCATCACTGCTGCTAATGTCATTTCTTGCCCTTTCTTGAAGAGAATACAAGTGAGAGAGGTAAATGTGAGAAACATAGCATGTTAAAAGAAAGCGCGCTTTTTCCATAGTGTTGTCACACAAGATAAGCACGCCGCCCATCTGCTGGCTAGGAGAATTGAAGTTATCTTTCGATCAACTGCCAACTTAGTGGTTGAGAAAAATGCAACACATTATCTTGGTTGCTTTTGTAAAAAGTTATGTTTCTTGTTTAGAATTTTAGTCTTGCATATTGATTGTTCCTATCTCAAAATTGATAAATTTTTAGTTTTAACTTCTTAAAAAGAAAAAAAGTTACTTGGTGTCTGATTAGCTTTCATGTGGAGAAAGTGTTGATTTTTATTCAAAGTGATTAGCAGTCGTTAGGTTATCAACAACTTTTGACCTATTTGTTGTACCTTTGGGTTAGGAGCGTTTCCAATATGATTCATTCCCTATATTTCTTCCATAAGAAATGCGAGTTTGTTTTGTTCACTTCATCCCCCACCATCAAAATGATCAAAAAGGAGGGCGAGCTTTCTTTCTATTCCCGAGTTTGATCTCCTCCATCTCTACTTCGAGACCCCATAGCATAATAAAGTCGTGAAGTGCATAAGCCCTTTTAGAAATAGGGGCGATTATATCGTTAATTGCTATACCTATTTGTCATTGAAATCACTATGATTTTTACAACCAAAAAAAAAAAACCCAATGCAATTCCACAAGTGAGCTCTGAGAAGGATGGTGTATACGCAGCCTTAGCCCTATCTTGTGAGATAGAGAGACTATTTCCAATAGACCTCAGCTCAATTGAAACACAATCACAATACTATTTAAAAGAAATACAGTAGTTAAAAAGCCATAAAAAAGAGGTAGTAATAACAACAAGATGATAAGATAATTGAAACAAGAGAAACAACAAGAAATAATAAAAGTCAAAGAATAAAAAAATACGAGAATAATACTAAAATTCTGGCATGACAAAGTGATACGCTCCACCGCTATGGGTTTTGTTGGCTTGAAAAACAAATGTCTCCCGCTTGTGTTTTAACGATTGGTAGTAGTCATTAGTCAAGCTACATGTTATACGCCACATTTTAATTATTAACTATTGTAATTATTAGTAAGAATATCAGTCAAAATAATATATGTAATTTCACTTTACTTTTTCTTAAAATAAGTGGTTAGTGAAAAACGAAGAATAATTAGACAAAGGTGTTTTTGGGTTCTCTTGTCGAGTAATCTGAATATTATGTTCATCGAGTTGCTTTCATAAGATATGTAGGTCATTTTCAACGAGGTTAAAAGTCTTTAGAAAGATTCATTATGTTTCCAACTTATTGCTGCTTTATGCTAGTCTTTATAATTAGAGAATGCTATAAGCCCTTTTAGGTTCAAATTCCAAGGGATGAAAAAATACTAGGTCATTTATTTCATATGTTAAAGCTTTGGTGTATATAATTATTCGATATCTGTGCTAATAGGATGTAGCAGGTACCTCTTAAAATTAGGAGGTGCGCATAAGTTGGTACAAGCACCACACATATCAAAAAGGGGGAAAATCGACACAGTATACTCGTTTTCAAAAATAATAGCTGAAAAATATATAAAACGACACAATATATATATTATACATATTTTTTATATATTTGACTAGCGGATATAATTAGTTTTTGGCTGACTCGCCAAATGTTTAACTTGCCCCAAAAAATCAAAATAAGAGGATGCTTTACCTAAGCCTTATATACCTAAGCCTAAGCAAGGTAAAGGACCTCATAAAACGTAAAAAGTGAGAATTACTACTTTAAGTCATGTTTTGTAGTTATGATTGAGGAAATGTTCATACTTTTATTCTTCTTTTATTTAACTTGTTTATCTTTCTTTCTTTCAAATATGGTCAAGTCTTCTTTGAGAATATTTCTTTTTTGCTTTTTAGGAAAGAGACACTTTGCATCAATCCTTTTTGGAAGTGTTTCAAACCTTAGAGAATAGAGAATATTGTGAGAAGAATTTATGTTACTTATTCTTAGTAAGGTTTATTTGTGACCACCAAAGGATGTGATGCAGCGGATGAGCTGCACTTCCTTTAACTAGAGGTTTCGGGTTCGAGCCCTGAGTATAGAAAAATCCTTAGTAGGGAACTCTTCCTCCCGAATGGGGCCGTACGCGGCGCGAATCCGAATATAGTCGGACTCCAATGCATGTGACAGATACCGAACACCGGACACCGCGTGAAAAATAAAAAAAAGGGTTTATTTGTGACTATGTTGATAAGAATATTCCTAATAATCACATAGGTATTGGAAGTTGGAACCATAGATTATTGAGTAGGAATTATATATTGATGATGTACTTGAAAAAATAAAAGTGAAGCTCTAAAATTAAGTAGTTACACAATTAACATGAATCTGTTCCAAAAACTATGACGGTAGTCAATGATCAATATTTAAGAACCCAAACAGACGTATTGTAGCATTAAATAGTGACGAATAACAATAAATGTCATTTATGTAAATAGAACGAATGAGTCACCCGAGAAATGATGAAATCAATAGATGTTCTTTCTGACAATGATGAATGATGGATAAGCCTTTGGATATCCAAGTTATTCTCGGATTCAGTGAAAAAGTATTTACAAGAATCTTAGTGAAAATGTTGTTTTGTAGGCTTGCAATAAGACCAGATTCTCTCTATAAGTCAAAGTATATTTCACAAATGAATATCCCATGTCCCCTATCATTGTGTCTCTTTCTATTTATAGGGAACATGTTCCTAGAAACCCTAATAGTACAAGTACAAAGAATATCCACTAGAATATTTTCTTTAATGTCCTATCTTGAAACTAGTCGTTATAACTCTGTCAAGGGTATTCGACCTCGGTCGCGATCCTTGATGACTCCTCGACTTCAGCCCTTGTTGACTCTTCGACCATGGCCTTCATTGTTTCTTAGATCGCTTCGACACGTGGCGGCCTAGGAATGTTTCACTAATGCCATTTTGACTTAAGTATTCTAGAGATAAATTTTGACCCATACATTTAGTCCCTCCGCTTGTTGAGGCTGGCGTCACGGGAGGTTTTGATGAGCGGATCATGTTGTTAGTAGTCGAGCTGATCAAGCGGACTACACGGGTCGTAGTTATTGCGACGAGCAGGCGACGTGGCCCTCCGTGTGCCGCACATTTCAAATGCTTTGAATTTCCTGGGTGATTTGCTGGAGTTATGTTGTCCACGGGTTAGGATGATGTCGGGATGATGTCGTGATGATGCATATTCCCGATGCGTCGTTTTGTTTCGGGTGTGACCTTTGATTAGACTTGCCGCTTCAGTTCCGGTGCCAATCATGATAAACCGTTTTTGGTTTCGGTGCAAATCATGATAAACCGTTTTCGATTTCGGTGCCATGACCTTCTTAAATAGAGATCCTTGAACCCGATTTTGGAGCTTTAACCTTCTAACGTTTCGAAACACCATACCTTTCTCTTGCTCTCTTCTTCTCCGAATTTCTTTTCTCCGTCTCAGTGATCTATATTGTTCTTCATTCCCTCTCGTTCGTCACTCTCCTTCACTATATTGAATCATGTCTAACGTACCTTCGGATGCTGATGAGGGGAGTCATGTTGCTCCCTTGGCAGTGGTGTTTCCCTCCCATGGGGAGAGCGCTTCTGCCATTGTTGAGGATGAAACCTTCCCGTCGGTGGAGGAAATAATCCCACGTAATCCCAATTCCAGGTCTGATCTTACCAAA